TGTTGTGTGGGTGTAACAGGTTCATTATTATTAAGTATATTTATATATCTAAAGTAATTCTGATCCACAATACGCTGCATAGGAGTTTTTGAAATTATTAATATTTTTTCTTGATAATAAAAGAGTTAAACAGTTAAACAAACTCACTCGAAACTTAATTAAGTACCTCAATGCTTGAGAGATCTCTGGAAAATTATGTATATTTGTTGGGAGGCTGAATTCAAATATCTTATTAAATATATATAGTTCAGGAGCAGGTAACTGCATCACATAAATTTCAATATCTAGTTCTACAAAATGTATTCAATAGGTTTATTAGATTAATATAATAAAATATTTATGAATTTACCATTATTATAATATTTACTTGATGTTATTACACCAAACACATTTATATTTTTGATGTGATCTGATAGCTCCCTACTTTCTAAATCTTTTGAAATCTTTGTAAGCAGATCATGCATCATTATTGTAATCTTTGTAGTATCTTTTTTGTTTTTCTTTAATCCATCCAAAATAATTTGTTTTTGGTGTTCCATTACAATTATTTCCATGTTTCCTCTTAAATAAGCCAATTTGATATCAGGCACCAATGCCAATTTAACTCTCTCCTCATTTCCATGGTTTCTTCGTTCCTTGTTGGCTAAAAGTGGACTACCAAATAAAATGGATTCATATAAATAAAAGTACAGATTCTTAAAAGATCTAAAATATAAAAATGGTAATTACTCATTGAGCCTCATTGAATAGCACTCTTGACGAAATAAGTTGTTGAAAAGTGGAGCATGTATCACTGCTCCTATATGATTTTCTGAATATTTATCTTGGAAATAATTATTGTTCAAAATAAAAAAGCCAGAACTAAATAGAAGAAAATATTATATTTTAATATTATAAATAAATTAATTAGGATGATTGGAATATGTCTCCTATTCATTAATTAGATTAGACTTACAAAATGTTCACTGTCGAAAAAATAAAATTATCTATTATTGATTCTGCGTCCAATTTTAAATTTACAAGCATTTTGTATTTGTCTACAAATCCAATCATTTTATCAATGTTAGTTATCTGTGATATTTCATTTACGATATTTCTGATTCTTTGGTTTTCAATTATATCATCTGTATATTTATTAAAATTTCGTTTATATAACTCTGAAATAGTGATATATCCACTAGATTTATTTTTTCTTTCATCATCCAAGTTTACCACGCCCATTTTTATAACATCACTGTATAAAAAATATAAAATTAAAATGTAATCTTTTGCATTTTAACATCAATAATTTTATATACACATCTGGTTATAAAAATTACCGATAGTTTGCGTTTCTATAAATTTCTATTAAGTCATCATAAATATTTTTCAATCTCTATATAAAAAAAAAAAATTAATTAATAGTTTCTTCATTTTTTAAGTAATTAAAATACAAATGCGATTGAAATGTGATCCAAATTTTGGTTCTTCTTCTAAAATATTATCAAAATTTATAATGTAATCATTTGGTTCGGTTTCTAATTTTATGAAGTATTTGGTATTACATTATCATCATATTTTGTAATCATTATAATAATAGTAATAAATAAAATGTTCTAAATTTGTATACCTGCTGATGGTGATGATGATGAACTAAGGTGCAAAACAGAGTTAACTTTTAACTAGAGTGACAACGAGTGATGGCGAGTGGCGATAACCACCACCATCCTTTTGATAAACACTTACCCTTTTTCTTCGCCAAGAGCCTTAGTTTTGGTTCTTTTTCTTGTTGTTTTGGATTCTGACATTTTTTTGTTTTTATTAAAAAAAAATTTGTTGAATCACAAACGTGTACATATTGATTATTTATGGCATTTTTTTTGGAAAAACAATTTATTTTTTGACAGAGTCCAAGGTGACAAAACGTGTGTTGTAGTTTGGCTTGGTTTGGGTCTCCTAAAGAAAAAGTGTTAATAACTAACCAGAGGTACTTTTTTTTACTTGTATTGATTGATATTTTTTTTTTGGTTATTATAAGCATTTTAATTGGAAATCAAAACATGGGAGCAGATCTTGTTGGGTAATTACAAGATTTTCATTGATAATATTGATAATATTTTGTTTTTTGTAATCAATAATATTAATAATAACAACATAAGGCTAATCTGACTTGATCCCCCGATGATACAATGATGCTACCAAATTCCAGGGGGCGGGAAGCAATGCCCTGGAGTTTACCGAGAATGCATCAATTGTCAAGGACACTTTTCACTAATCTTCCCAGACCAGAGATGGCCACTGGCACGCTGGCCGAAAAGTTGCCTGCAACAATCCTGCCTCTAAGGATGGCACTGTGTCCAAGATATCGCAACTCTGGAGGAATATTAAGTGTTTCAAGCACAGGAGATTACAATTCCGAGTGGGGTTGGTGACCCTGAAATTCTGATGTTAGGAAAAGGCTGTAAAATAAAATGGTTCAGATATTTTTTTTTGGTATGTTATATATAAATTAATCATTTTCATAAATTCTCTATTTCTTTAATTTTTATTTGATCAACTGAACTTGTTATTTAATGGAGGTAGGGTTGTTGGTGAGTACAAACTCAGGACTCAAAACTCTGAATTCAGGGAAATCCAAAACAGCAACCCAGGATGCAAGCTCCTGAGTTGGAGGATTTCGTAACAGTCTTAATGCTAACTTTATTCTAGAGAGGTATAACACAAAGAAACCATCACACAAATGCTGGTCCTCATCAGTGATCAATGCTCATATGGAAACAGTCAAGCCTGGTCTGAGGGAAGATAGGGAATGTTTTGTCCACTACATGAAAGTCTTCTAATGTGTTGACAATTTTTTCATCCATGGAAAAGAAAACTCCATGGATATGAAAGATTTGCAATTGCGCATTTGTGATAGGAAAATTTAATTAAATCTGACACCTGTGATCAACATCAGATTTATTGTTCATAAGGAACTATACAATGAGAACTATAATATTTTTTTGATCCTCCCTATTTATTTATTGTTGTGAACTCCAGAGAACTGGGTAGACATGCATTATTAAAAGTTTCATTTATGCATGGCCTTGGTGTTATTTATTACCTTGGTGATGCAATTGCTTGTTATGTCAATTATAACATCAAACATATTGAATAATAATCATGAATATTTGATAGATGGAGGCATTCACATACAAGGAAATGATTAAATAGCTAAGTCATGTTTGTTTTGTTAAAGATGTATGATTAATTATATTTAAAAAATTATTATTTTATTTCACCTTTGTAATGGCATTAATTTCAGTTGAATTAATGTTATTAAATCTTTTTTTATTTACAATAATTATTTTTTTTTGATACATCAAACTCAGTCCAAAATCTATCATATTTATTATATATATTAAAATTTCTTATTAGATCACATTCAGCAAAAATCTCAGAAGACTACATTGTGCATTAATTCTAAAATAAAAAAATATGTTTTAATGTTTTAGTATAATCAACAATTTTCTTCAATTGTTTTTTTAGAAATAACAATAATTATCTTTTATTTATTTGTTTATCTGTTTTAGTTGATCAATAAATCTCAGGTCTCAAGATAATTTATCTTATCCATTTTTAGTAATAATAAATAATTTAAATCTAACATATTTATTTTTCATGGAACCAATTGAGGATTTTTATTTTCTCTTTTATAAGGCTCCAAACAAATTGAATTGATTCGAATCAACTGGATTCCTAAAATTTTTTTAATGTCATATTAAATTTATATTTTTAATTTGATAATTTAAATATTACACAGTGAATCTCAATTAATGTGCCTCAATTAAATGAATACTAATGGATTGAGGTCTAAGAATGGTTTAATGATAATAAAATTCTTCTTGATATGATATTTATTCAAGTTTTTCATTTTTCCATGATAATAATAATGGATTTCTTGATATTAATATTAATGGTCATGTGACAAGTTTTGAATATAACAATAATGGACTTTTGGAAAAAAATTTCTAAACACAAACTATCTGCTAACTAAGATTGTGTATATTTTAAATTTTTTAATCGATAAAGAATATTATTTAGTGATAGTAGCCAAAACTGTTTTGAAAAAAAGATAGTTTCGTCCAATAAGTATCTAAATCAATCTACTTTATTTTAAAAACTCCCAATTTCAGCCATTAAAATTAGTTTCGTCAAAGTTTAGGCCAATTAATTTCGGCAATTAAGCGTAGTTTTGACCACCATCACTAGTTTGAATCGAGTTGAGTTGAATCAGTTCAAATCAAATTATACATTCAAGTCAGTTCAAATCGAATCAGTTTGAAATTATATATATTTAATATTTGAATCAAATCGAATCAGGGTACAATTCAAATTTGGTTCAATTCGATTAGAACTGATTCGAATCAAAAATTAGGTGATTCGATTCGATTCGAATTTGAATTGATTCGAATCAGTTCAAATTTCATTGATTTGTTTGGAGCCTTACTTTTTTATATCAATTATTGAATATATATTTCTGATATTTATTCACAAATCCACTCAAATTTAATTCTTTCTGCTTACTTTGCTTGTCATCACAAGACCAATTTCAATTTTAAAATAAATGAAAACCTACAAAGTGAACATGAAATTATAAAATTATATATATAGGGATAGGTGTATATGAAAAGTAATAATAAATATAATGGTTCTAATGAATATCAAAAAGCAATTGATTTTTTAGAAAAAGGTTGTAATTGTGGTTGTTCTTCAAGAATTCCCAAGGAACAATTTGCAGAATTAAGAGAATCTTTTCAAGCTCTTTCCAAGTCTGAACAAGATATATTTTTAATGGCTCAGCTTAAAGCAATGGATGGTGGATTAACAAACACTAGCAGACGCCTTAAAAAGAAAACTAGGTCTAATAAAAGAACTTTCTATCATTGGGATCACAACACACAAGAAACTTATCTCAATATGTTAGGGATTGGCAGAACTTATTTTGAAAATATCAGAAATCATCTGATAAAAAATGGTCTTTTGCCAAGAATTCATGGCAATATTAAAAGAATGCCTCAATGGAAAACTAAAATGGTGATTGACAAAAATGTTGCTGAAATTGTAAAGAATTTTCTAGAAAATTATGCAGAAGTCCATGGATTACCAAGTCCAGGAAGAAGTATTAATAGAATAACCCAATCAGTTATCTTTTTACCAACTGAAATGAGTTATAAATCAGTGCATAGAGACTTTCTGGCTGGCCTAGAAGAAGATAACAAATTGAAACTTTTAAAATATGATGCCTTCAGAAAGTTATGATATCAATTGATACCAGAAATTCAAATCATGAGTCCAAGGACTGATTTGTGTGATACTTGTCAACATTTTAGAGATGGTTTACATTATAATGCTCGCCAAGAGGAAGAAGCTAAAGATTTGCTTAAAAGATTTAAAGAACATCTGTCCAAGGCAAGATTAGAAAGAAATTATTATAATAAAAACACCAAATTATCAGAAGAACAAAGAAAATTAGTTGATCAAAATTATTCAAAGGGCAAAACAAAATATTGCGGTATTGATGCTACTGCT